CTGACAATTAGACACGTCTTCATATCCAAGTAATTCTGTTATTTCTGGTACCTCAAATTTTGTTTTCCAAGTAGTTATTTCTGGGGCCTAAAATTTTTCAGACAAAAGCTTTCTGAATGGATAGTGGTGACTCAGTACCACCTCTGCCACAGTATGGTCTCATATTTGTAACTATCAACTTTAGTCCTCCTTCAAAGTTTTTCAGTTTAATGGTTCATAAAAACGGCTACATTGACTAAAATCTGCCCTCAACAAGTACCATTACAAAGAATAATTTCCCACTTCTAGAGCCCAAGAGTTGGGCAGTGCTCATCCAGATAAAAGACAAAAACCCACACGGAAAACAACTTGCCATCAAGAGCAATTATGAAAACAAGACTGGTTTCTGTGATAAAACGAAACTGTGTGGCTTGAATGTTTTATAAATATTATCTAATGTCCTAAATACCACACTCTGTAAAAACGACTGTAGAGTGATGATGAGATAGGCTTTGGAGCCCTGCAACCGATAGCAAAGTTCCTTCTGCTGGTTGAGTGTGTGGGGCTTTGTTCTCAGGGCTGAAATGCCGAATGCAAAGGTCAATCAATGAAACAGGTGTATGTTAGCTCCAAGTACAGTTTCAGCATGATGTCGGGAACAGAGTTTCAGGCTTTTCCCGGTATGCTAAGGATTCTAAAGTATGTCTGGTACATAAGTACCCACTGAACACAAAATTTTAAAACAGATACTGCTCATGAGGTAGCTTGGGCATTATTTTACCTTCGATCACAGAAGAATCAGCGATAAATGCCTGATAGTAATAATGAAGCAACCACATTCTTTTTGTTGCCCTGCAGTGATCTAGAAGTTGTTTAATCATAGGTAGTGGAGGGTCCACTGATACAGGGCATACCAAGTTTAAGGGACCTAAAACTGACCAGGGAGATTAAAATGGGAAACTTTGGGGGCGCCCGGGTAGCTCAGTCGGTTAAGCGTCCGACTTCGGCTCAGGTCATGATCTCGCGGTTCATGAGTTCAAGCCCCACATTGGGCTCTGTGCTGACAGCTCAGAGCCTGGAGCCTGTTTCTGATTCTGTGTCTCCCTCTCTCTCTCTCTGACCCTCCCTCGTTCATGCTCTGTCTCTCTCTGTCTCAAAAATAAATAAACGTTAAAAAAAAAATAAAATAAAATGGGAAACTTTGCCTTTGGAAAGTTGTTCTCTCTTCAGATCATCATTCGGTCTGTCCATCCATTCATCTGTCTTTTATGCTGAACTCCAAATAAGCAGAAAACATTGTACTTTGCTGAGGGAGATGCTAAGACAGTTAAAACATGATTTCTTGGTCTACCTGAGGACTCGTCCTCTTTAGGTTTGGGTCAGACCAAGAAATACAAAGTATCTTAAGAGGAAGTGGATCAAAGTTTAGTATTTGATTCAAAAGGAGAAAACAGTTCTGAGAAAGTCAAGGAAATAATAAAGAAATGAGATGTGGATTCCTACCATGGCCTGCATCACCAGGAACCCCCTGGGCCTAGATCTATTTCTTTTTTTTTTTTTTTTTTAATTTTTTAAATATTTATTTTTGAGACAGAGAGAGACAGAGCATGAGTGGGGGGAAGGGCAGAGAGAGAGGGAGACACAGAATCTGAAGCAGGCTCCAGGCTCTGAGCCATCAGCACAGAGTCTGATGCAGGGCTCGAACCCACAAGCTGTGAGATCATGACCCGAGCTGAAGTTGGACGCTCAACCAACTGAGCCACCCAGGCACCCCTACCTATTTCTTTTCTAGAGGAAAGGATTCTTCCTCTAGACTTTGCCTCTAAAAGAAGTATGGGTGCTCCAAAGCTATCTTAAGATTAAAGTGGAGTCAGTGACAACATTTTCCGAAGCAAGTATTTAAGAAACGCTGCTACGAAAATTAGGAAGAGCCTCATAGGTTGTTCTTTATAGTATGTAACTTTATAGTATTTTTCTTTCATGAGCAGAAATAAAGAAAAATATTCAATTTAGGTTAGAAGAAACACGTGTAACTATTAGATGCTGAAACAATCTGAGAATAGAGATGAAACAGTTAAATTCTTAGAAGACTTTTGGGAACAGAACAAGTTCTCATTTGTCTTGAATAACTTAAGTAAGATTATGCTAAAATGGCTCAAGGCAACGGACCAAAGATCATACTACTGACCAAATGAGAGTATCGTCACCAACCAGGTTTGTTGAATTACGGATCCTTTCACCTAGATTATGTGAAATATTAATTTTTTTCACGTGTACAGAATAAGAGGACAGTGACTGTCCACTAACAGAAGTTTAGGAATGGGCGAAAGCTGGAGTAGGAAACTTTTCTGCGTCAGGGTCCTTCCCTGACCCCCAGACTGGAAACTGAAAATTAAAGTCCATTGGCAATGCACTACATCTTTCGTCCTTTCCTTTCAACCTAAAGCTTCCAACTTGTCGAAACTCTCGTTCTGGAAAAGCTTTTGGTAGTCACTTTTGCAACCCACAATTTCTGTGGCTTTTCATCTCTTCACTATATACTCTTTCTGCCTCTAAGCCTCACTGCCCATATGTGGTCAGTAATGCCACCACCACCGGAAGTGAAACAGTCCTCAGCATGAGCCTGTTTGCCCACACAAGGGCAAAATGTGGGGCAGGAAAGGAGTTTAGTGTTCGTGGATCTTAAGAAACTGTGAAACTATAAAAATGGACACAGAAACACAAGGGAATTCTCTGAAGGCTACAAAGATAGCCAACGAGTGGGTCTGGGTGTCCACCTCATGCTCAGAGGTCAGGCTTGAGCCTCCTTTTGCAATTCTTAGAAGGGTGTTGTTGGTAAACTGGCCTTTTCATCTCTCGTTTTGAATTCTATTAGGACAGTAACGGTTTTTTTTTAAAGCATTCTTTGCATTTTGGGGAGCATGTTTTACATTTTAGGCACTGTGCTAGGAGCTTTTAAGGGTTATTACTAAATATTTACTAAAAGTTGCTTATTTGTACAGCTGATTAAACTGTAGCTCAGGCAAAAGTCATCTGACTCAGAACTCTTGAGAAACCGTCAAAGACGGCAGAATGTTAAGTAATCACTTCCATGAAACAGTATCAGTGACGCTGGTTCCTTTAAGACCATATTTTTATATTTCTCTACTTATTTAGGAAACTAATAGTGGTACTACCTTCTAGGTTGTTGTAATGACTAAACGATATACATTTAAAAACCTCAGAAGACCATCTTCTTAAAAGGGACCATGTACATATACACGTGCATATGTGTGTGCACACACACACAGGCACACATACAAACAAGTTATAACTATCTAAAAGATTATATGTGTGTATGGGCATTTTTTTCTCCTTCTCAGAAAAGTGCCAACTTAAATGGAAATACATTGCTTGCCTCTCTGGTGCTGATTCTCTGACAACAGCAGTCCTGCCTGTAATGCTTCTCTGAAAGGCATGTCAGTACCATGACTGACTAGACCACGCAACTGTGACTGACACGCTCCTGAGACACCCTTCACCTTGACAGAACACAGGGAGTTCCACATGCATTTTCAGGCGTGTAAATGAAGCTGCCTGAGCCTTCTGGAATACATACCTCCAGGCTTGCTGGGACCACAGCCAAGCAGCCTAGAAGTTCTTTCCCGTGCTTACAATAGTTTGTGAACTAGGATACTGAGATCTGTATAATCTGAGTTGTTTCAGATGCTTCCACACCTTTTTTAAGCACAATCATGAAATTTAAAAATACTCCCCTATCACTACAGAGAATAGAAGAAGAGCAGGTCTTTGCCAAGCTTGCTTAAGTGAGATATTTGAGTGTTTAAAGCCTACTTTAAAAATTGCATCAATCATGTCATGCTCTATTAGCACAATACTGACTTCCTCATTAGAAAATTCGCTCTAAGTATTAAGGTCACTTTCGGTGGTGATAGCTAGTAACCTACAACATCAAATTAAAGGGCATGTCTGATGACCAGTGAACTCCCAGGAAATGAGTCCAAAATGATGCATCCTTTTGTCAAACACTCTTAAAAATTAGCTCTTTAGGATCTCTCTTAGAAATATGAAACTCCTCACAACCACTACCACGTAGAGCCCACATTTTAAAGAACTACCAGGCCACCTGCTTTTCTCCAGAAAACACCATAAAACTCTCAAACTAGTAAAGCTGTGTAAAGCCTACAAAGTCTCTATCTTTGTGATGAGGTTTACTTACTTTGTTTGAGACTTTACTTCCTCTTTTCTAAAAAAGGAAAAGTCTCCAGGCATCTTTGCAGGAAAAAAAGAAAAAAAAAAAAGGCCTCATAACCGAAGTGGAGGCCAAAGAACACTTCTTTGTCACTTTGGTCTTGACTTGGCATAGTGTTTCAGATGGTATTCATTTGGAATAAAGAGACTGATGACATAACATGTCCAATCCTCCTCTCTAAGTGGCTTTACCAGAAGTGGGAAAGGGTAGACAAATATAAATTCATCTGTCCATAGGCAACCGAAAACATACCAACTCATCTTGGAGTAATTTCATCAATAGGATGGTTTAGAGGACAGTGCGGTGGCACCATTTTTGGAAGGTAAAAGCTTAGCAGAAGGAACATAAATCAAAGGTGACTGGCAGGTAAGGGATATATGCAGCCATCAGCCAAACCATGTGCACGCTGGCACAGATTCAATAAGATCATTTATAAAATTTTTAAGGCAGGAGTACACAAAAGGGGGTCTGGTGCTAACTAAATCCACAGATAGCTTACATGCCACTGAAATAAACACTTCCAGATGCGGGTGTACAAAAACCTTTCACAGAAAGAAATGTTTTCTTTCATAAATCTGAAGGAGGGGCTCTTAGCGAGGAAGGGCAGAAAGTCTGAAATGGAGACTGGGCTTCTTACAGACTGGAAGTGCCTGGTGAGGTGGACCAGTTGTGCGGGCAACAGCGAACTAACTGCATGTAGTGGGTCTCCGCTGAGAGGCGTCCCTGTGATCCGTAAGACTGGGCTTTTGCTCTACTGAGGAAAACACGCCTAACGGCATATCCGTCCACCAGTCCTCAAAAGTCTACTGTCGGAGTTGGTGCTGCTCTCGTTCCTTACAATTTCATGTTTTGGGGGTGTGGTGGCAGGGATAATGGGTTCGCACCGAGATGGAAACCGCTCACCAAAGTTTAGAAAAATGATGCTTTGCAACTTACACACCAGCTCAAAGCTATTGCAGGCGTGGCTTTAATGACAACAAACTTTTTGAAATCTTGTTACAGTCATCTTTCAGGAATGCACGACCAAGTTCATTAATGACTTAGAAAGTCAATTTGTTCATCGGAACAGCATAATAATATGTGGGACTACCTGGTCACATATATAAACACTCCCAGAAGTTCAAACAGAAAGCCAGAATGTCTTTTTTCTTTTCTTTTTTTTAAGTTCAGGTGATCTATGCATTGAGCCCTCCAACGACTTTCTGGAAAACCCTTTGAAATTAGTTTCCTTGTTGAATCTTTAAACTTCACGCAAATTCTTCGTAGGCATTTGAACACTTATTCTTTTTTTTTTTTTTTAACGTTTACTTATTTTTGAGACAGAGAGAGACAGAGCACGAATGGGGGAGGGTCAGAGAGAGGGAGACACAGAATCTGAAACAGGCTCCAGGCTCCGAGCCGTCAGCACAGAGCCCGACGCAGGGCTCTAACTCACGGACCGCGAGATCACGATCTGAGCCGAAGTCGGACGCTTAACCGACTGAGCCACCCAGGAGCCCCTGAACACTTATTCTTGAGAATATTTTTGTATGTTTTAGGCATTGACCTAAGTTATAAACTTGTCATCTTTTATTCTTTCATTCAGGGTCTCGTTCTACTTATTCTTCAGGACAAGTATCTCTTTAATGGATTCTATCTTGTCTGTTCTCAATGTCATTAACTTAGCAGAGCCTTTTCTGCCTTCTTGCTTGCAATACTGCGGGGCCACCTAATTGGCCTCTAATTAGAACTGTGCCTGTTCTACCCTGTAACCCTACTCCTTCCTTTACACCACCATCTGAGTTATTTTGCTACAATACAGAGCTGTTTATATCCACTCCTTGCTCAAAAACTCTCAAACAGCTCCCTGATCCATATCAGTCATTAAAAAGAAATTTTGCCCACAAAATCTTATTGAGCACCTCATGTGTATCAGAGATAAAGATTCGTCTGTATTATTCAGAGAAAATGCTTTATTACTTGCACAATGCCCGCACAGTAATTTGGGGTTTCTGTAGAGCACAGATAACTGCTGACCGACATCATCAAGTCTAGGTAAACTGGCTTGGAATTCAAAGTCTTCAAACTGTCATCACCCCATTCCACCCTCCCCTCAGGGTGCTCAAGACTTGGTTCCTCAACTTTGCCTAAACAATTGTATTTCTTCCTTCCTTCCTTTTCTTTTCTTATTTTTTTTAATGTTTTCTTATTTTTGAGAGACAGAGAGACAGAACATGAGCAGGAGAGGGCAGAGAGAGAGAGAGAGAGAGAGAGGGAGACACAGAATCTGAAGCAGGCTCCAGGCTCCGAGCTGTCAACACAGAGCCCAATGCGGGGCTCGAACTCACGAACCGTGAGATCGCGACTTGAGCCAAAGTCAGACACCCAACCACTGAGCCACCCAGGTGCCCCATACTTCTTTCATACATCTGTATTCCTCCCCCATTTTATCCCTGCTCCTTTTGCGACCTGAAATACCATTTCCAAATTCTTACTCGTTTCCCTTGCCTCTGTTTCATAAATTCGATTCAAATGTCAATGGCCCTACAAAGCTCCCCTGACTTCCTCAGGCAGACTGTGCCCTCCCTCTGTACCTGAAGCACTTTGTCCAAACTTGTGACACCACTGGCCACATGGCACTGCTTGCATGCACATCTCCTACACTGTGTCAGAACATTCCGTTATCTCTATATTCCATACCCCCACTTCAACATATTTCTAATACAGTACTTGGAAAATGTTTATTGAATTAATAAATGGAGATGTCAGAGCTGTAGGGGCCCGAGGACACGTAGGGATGTTAACACACGTAGGGACCTTCCACTTCTCCATCATGAGCAGTTCAATTGTACAAATACGGATTTTGCCAAACGGACTGTTCAACTCAGAAAGCAATTGCCGTCCTTTGTATGTGACGGATGCTTCTTTTTTTTTTTTTTTTTTAAATTTTTTTATTTATTTTTGAGAGAGAGAGAGAGAGACAGCATGAGTCGGGGAAGGGCAGAGAGAGAGGGAGACACAGAATCCGAAGCAGGCTCCAGGCTCCGAGCTGTCAGCACAGAGCCCGACGCGGGGCTTGAACTCACGGACCGCGAGATTGCGACCTGGCTGAAGTCGGACGCTCAACCGACTGCGCCACCCAGGCGCCCCACGGATGCTTCTACCCTATCAGGGAGGCATGTGCTTTGAACTGGTTTTCCAGCAGCGGTGGTGGGTGACAGATGGACCTGTAGTAGCATGGAGTCTGGCCTTACCTTCTTTTTCATTTTGAAAAATTTTAGCCATGTGTGAGTTGGGTGTGTGAGTGAAAAGAACCATCAAAAACCGAAGGTGTCTGCCCACATGAGGACTGACCCCTATTCCTGTCTTCTTTAGACAGTGGTTCAGAGAAAAGCACATTATAGAACTGGGGCTAGTTTTCTTTCTCTTCTCTTCTCTCTCTCTTTTTTAAACTATTGAAAGCTTGCCTGGATGAGAAGTGCGTGTCAACTATAACTCACTTACTTATGAGGCTCTTACCTAATTAGTCTAGAGTATGGGAAAGGGTGTTTTAGGTTAGATCAGGAATGAAGAATTAAATCAGAGCCAGAAATGTAGTTTCTAACTTCTCTACTGGAAACTATAAAATCTGCACAAGTGTTTGAATTGGAAGTGACAGGAACCTGTAGGCCAGGCTGTGAACTTCTGGAGCCAGAGAGTCAACTCAAGTACTCCTCCCTGGTATTTCCATCAGGGGCACAGCTGCCCAACTGTCACCTTGAATGCACCTGGGCAAATTCAGAGCCTGACATTGGGCTCTGCCCTCACGACCTCTGCCAACTAATCAGTCAAAATATTTCCAGATCTGGAGAGCCTACTCCACATGTTGGGTAGATGCCCAGAACTGCAAAGTGCACTCCAATCAGGTGGGAGAGCCTATCCAGGTGCCAGGGCAAGAATTAACATCTGACTGACATATGGGCCGTGAATTTTCTCTTCTCACAGCTTGGGGTCATGCAGAGGCAGTGTGTGGGGGTGGGATATTTGATCTGTGCATGCACAGCCTAGGGGATTTGGTTTAAATCAAATCATAATTAAAACACCAGTCAGGAAAACAAGGCATAATTATTTTTTTCCTGCGTATTTTTCCTACCTTGGATAGAGCCTTAAATACACGCTGGCTACAATAAAAGCCAGGTATCAGTTTCATTTTGGGAAGGTGTAAATTTTCCACTTAAAACAATCCACTTATTATGTTGTGGGATTAAGTCTGCAACTACATCGGTAAATTAAATGACAGTTCAATGATTATATTTGCGAGACTAAAGTATGTAACACTATTTAAGAAATCATCAAAAAGTAAATCATCTCCAGTTCAACAGGCTCTCATCATGGCTGTTGGAGGGGGTTTCTGTCACAGTACCAATAAAACAGTACACAAATGTTTCACTTGAACAAAACTCCCTTATGAATGTTAGATGTTTCTGGGATGGTAAACAAACAATGTGTTTTAATAAAACCAGTGTGCTCTTTTCTAATATTCACCTACTTAGATAGAAAATGTGAATTGAAAATTTAAATAGGATTTTTGTTAGGTGAACCTGAACAATATTATTATTATTATTATTAATTAATATACTGACGTTGTAGATATAAATATATATCATCTTCTTCTTCATTCACAGACTTCAAGGAGGATTCTTGCCATTTTTAGAGCACAGTTTTTAAGTTTAGAAATATCTCAGCTGAGGTTAGTTCCTCCCAACGAATCCTTTTGCTGCTTTCATGAATTTATGAGTTAAAAGAATCCTGTGATTTTTTTTTTTAAAGAAAAAATAATTTCCTTCTGGGAGTCACTCTAAATATTTTCCCACTCTCTGGCCATTCCCTCAGAAGACTGCAAAAACCTAGAAACTGCAATAACACGTTCAAATCTCAAGATCTTGTCCTTTTTGGATATTCTGCTCAGAAAGTTTCTCTTCGTTGTCAAATGTTCCTCTTTCCTTGTTGGAATTCCTCCTCTACTCTCCAAGATACAGCCTGCCTTTTACAATAAATAGAGATTCATTAACTTCTTGAACTACTTCAAATTTTAAAAGACTTTGAAGGATACACACTTGGAGAAATTACACAGAGCTGATTAGGGCTCTCAACTTTGAGATCTACTTTAAAGGTGTCCCCCCATTAGAGAAGACTGGTTTTCTCCTTTTCAAACTATGTTCCTGAAAACTCTAGGATTCTTTGAAGATTTTCTAGGGGCCTCATGATTTTTTTTTTTAAATGTTTATTTAGTTTTGAGAGAGAGAGAGAGAGAGAGAGAGCGCGAGTGAGTGAGCAGGAGTGGGGTGGGGGCAGAGAGAAAGGGAGACACAGAATCTGAAGCAGCCTCCAGGCTCTGAGCTGTCAGCACAGAGCCTGATGCGGGGCTCGAACTCACGAACCATGAGATCATGACCTGAGCTGAAGGAGGATGCTCAACTGACTGGCACCCAGGCACCTCCTCATGATGTTTGATTTGAATGTCCATTTACAATTTTTGTGCTACTCATAATAAAGGTTCTGCCTTTTCACATTTTATATTTGAACTTCCTGTAAACGTTTTGCTGATTAGGATAAGGTTACGTCTTGGAATTTGGGCTTGTTAGATTTTGTTTGTGGATACTTTTAAAGCAGACCAGAGAAATATTCAGTATACAACTGAGCAAATGACTACATCACCTTAGGGTCTCTACCCGACGCAGAACCGAATTTGAGGTCTCTACTTCTGACACAGAGGTGAAGGCAGAAAAAAGCAAAATGCCTTTGAATAGTAGCTATTTACTGCAGAGACAAACTAGTTGTTAATAATACTTGAATTTTCAAACTGGAACTGGATAAGTCCTTATAAACAAAATCACTGGCTGCCTAATTTAAGGTATTAGTGCAGACAGAGGGTTCAAATGAGAGAAGATCTCACTTTCCTTCTCCCTGCTGTCTGATGATTTAAAAAATGAACTAAACAGCTTTTACAGTATAATGAGATTGTGCCACCTCGATCTGGCAACACAGAATTATGATGTTCTGCTTACAACAGCAGAAATAGTTTCAGTAATGAAGTTCATTATTCATTCATCAAATTTGGATTCAACAGGCAAAGCAAAATAAACTTGACCCTGAAACTTTAAGCAAGTATTTGTTAGAAAAGGGTCTCCAGGTGACTGAGATTTTCTTTATGACATCTTTGAGTAGCTTCTAATGTTTTAAGATACCTTAAAAAATATTTTCCAGAAATCCAAGAAGGGT